TCTCAAGAACAATCCTTCCACTCATGGAGCCTTTCTTTTGGTCAAAGGGGAGCTAATAGGAATTCCATAGGGTTTCAGGAACACTTTTGTGTATATTCTTCTAGATTTTAAAATGGAAATGTGTATATACATAGATAAATGTGTATCTTTTACAAAATTTGGACTATATCAATTTGTAATTTACTTTTAAAGACTTTGCCACGTCAAATACAATACTGCAATACTGCATCAGCATTTTTTATTTTAATAATCATTGTTTTACTTTAAATTATTTTATTCTTATCTCCTCCTAACATTTTATTGGAAAAATTTACCGGAGTTGAAAGAAGAGTTCAATGTATATCCATATGCCTTGCACCTAGATTAGTAATTGTTAATATATTAACATATTTGTGTCAGCATGTGACAATATTTGGTCTTAAGGAGACTTCCTGGTGGTTAGGAGTGTGGAGTCAGTCTGCCTGGGTTCCAAAGCCAGGTGCACTGTTTTCTGTTGTGTGACTTGACCTTGGACAAGATCCTTAACATCTCTCTAAGCCTGTTTCCTCAACTATAAATTGGATGACATCTGCTCAGAGATTTCAGAAGATTAAATGGATTATATGACTAACATATAAGATTATATGTTTGGCATATAATAAATGCTCAATAAATATCATTTGGGTACTTGTCCTATCTTCTCACTTAGCCTGGAAGACAGGACAATATCTTAACCAGTTTCACCTTAAATATATGACCACTAACCTCAAGTGGGCCCTTTGTGTTGTCTGATAATCCTGCTATATCTCACTCCTTCATTATCTCTTATTTTCTTGGACGATTATTTCACTCATTCTTCCTCTTTCTTCAATCCTTCAATACTTCCTGCCCCTTCTTCACTCTCAGATGACAACTGTTCTTCTTATTTCACTGAGAAAATAGAAATGATCAGAAGAAAACTTTTATGCATTCCTACTACATCTGCTATCTTACTTGCATCTGTGCCTTCATCCCTGTATTGCAGATGACTGTCGATATTCCTAGCTGAGGCCAACCCCTCCACTTGTGTGCCGGATCTATTTCCTCTTGCCTATTCAAGACATCACTGTGGCAATTATCCCTTCTCTCTCCTGCATTATCATTTTTTTCTTCTTTACTAAATCGTTCCCATCACCATTCACTAAATCTCCCATCTTACCAAACACCTTCCTGTGACCCCACATTCATCTCCAACTGTCCAATTCCTCTTCTTTCCTTTAAAGAAAAGCTCTTTGGTAGAGCTCTCTGTACTCAAAAATCCATCAATAGATCCAGCTTATTTTGCCATGAAACTGTCTCAAGTCTGTATACTCCCTATCACTTCCATCATTACCTGCCTGGTCCAAGCCCCCATCATCTTGCTTGTACCACAGCAAGCCTTCCTAATTATTTTTCCTGGTTTCTCTCTTGCCTATTCTCTACCCATCAGTCATAGTGATCCTTTAAAAACATGTCAGACCATGTTTCCCTCTGCCCTGAAACCTGTAATACTTTTCCATCAACACAGACAAAAATTCAAAGTCTTTGCACCTCATTTCTTATGCTTCCTCCTTTATTTAGCTCCAGCCACGATGGTTTTTTTTTTTTTTCCTCTTCTTTCAACATACCAGGCACAAATTTGCCTCAGGGATTTTCTACTTCATATTTCATATGCCCAAAAGGATCTTCTCCTAGACATTCACAAGGCTTGTTCCTACATGTCATTAAAACCTCTACTCAAATGTCAATCTTCAGAGAGACCTTCTCAGACTACTCTGTTTTATTTTCTCTTATGGCTTTTGTTACTAACTGATATATTTGTTTAATGAGTGCAGGGACTTTATTTTGCACACTGCTGTACGCTCAATGCCTAGAAGAATACTTGGCATATATCAGGCACTGACATATTTGTTGAATGAAACTTTTGTTTCTTCTATACCTCTTTAGTGTATAGGACAGAGGTGAACACAAGTAAGTGCTTGATTAGTATTTATCAAAATGGGTAGAAACAACATAATTTACAGAACATAAATTGGATTCCATCAGCTTAAAGCAGAGCCCTTATATCTGGCAAAGGTTGATGTGAACAAAGGTTCACATCTTTAAAATGGGGGATAACACTATGTATTCCATTGGGCTGTTCTAAGAATTGGATTAGAAAACATGTGAAAGCATCCAGTTCCTGTATTTTGGTAAATATAAACTACTCAAAATTGTGAAATGAATAAACAGATTCCAAGGGCATCAACTATGGGAATAACTCTGTCTCAGGATGAATTGTACCTTTAGACTGATGAATGTCTAGATGAAGCAGCTTTATCAATATGATTCTGAGGAAGGTGAATTACTGTTATTGTTATTATTATTTTTAGAGACAGGGTCTCACTCTGTCACCCAGGCTGGAGTGCAGTGGTGCGATCATAGCTCACTGCAGCCTCCAACTCCTGGGCTCAAGCAATCCTCCCGCCTCGGTCCTCTGGGTAGCTAGAACCATAGGCACTTGCCACCATGTCTGACTAATTAAAAAAAAATTTTTTTTTTACAGAGACTGGGTCTTGCTCTGTTGGCCAGGCTAATCTTGAACTCCTGGCCTCAAGGGAACCTCCCGCCTCAGCCTTCCAAGTAGCTGGGACTACAGCATGTGGTCTGCGCCAGGCCTTACTATTATGTTTAATCTAACTCTCCATCTGAGCAGGGAAGCTAGAAAAAAAGCATACATATCAGC